AACCAAAATCTCATATGTGCACTTACGCAGTGGGAGTCCCAAGGTGTAACACACCATCGGTTTGCACGCGTTAATCTTGTGGATTTGGCCGGTTCTGAAAGGTAAACCAAATAATTACAATGAAACACATACGGAGGATCTTAAATGATAGTCATCTGCCAAATCTGTTTTGTAATTGTGCTTTTTTACCAGGCAAAAAAGTTCAGGTGCCGAAGGTGAAAGGCTAAAGAAAACCACTAACATCAACACGTCTCTCTCAACATTGGGGTTTGTTGTTCTCATATGACATTTTTGTGTTCAGACGTTTAATTGTGTTTGTGTTTTTGAAATTGACCTGGTTTAACAATATATAGGCTTGTGATTATGAACCTTGTTAACATGTCCAGTGGGAAGTTACTCCATGTTCGTTACCGAGATTCAAAGCTGACATTTTTGTTACAGGTGACATGTCCTGATTTAAGCTTCCCATGAAAGTCCTTAAGTTTCTTAAATTGTTTTCAGCAAGAGTAATTGCAGTAGTGAATCTCCTTCCACACCTTTCCCCTCTATAGAAAACTGAGTGTAATATGCAAAGTTTGTTTCATAATAGCTAATAACAACTTCCATACGGTTGAGAGTGCCCATAATATTCCTTCTTTTCAGGACTCGCTGGGAGGGAATGCAAAAACAATCATAATTGCCAACGTCAGTCCTTCCAGCAGGTAATAATTACATATCGTTGTTGCCTTCTACCAAATCACATTTGTCTTTGTATCCTGAGTTACATTTTGGATCAAAGGCTCCCCTGTTTTGGAGACTAAATAGTTCATTTTAACCAAATGTTGAAATGAAGAAACAAATATTTATGACTTGACTTCTGCACCTTCTCTCTAGAAACTCTAAGCACATTGAAATTTGCTCAGCGTGCCAAATTCATAAAGAATCATGTAAGTGCTTATCCTGACCTTGATGACTTCACAAAAACATTAACCTTGTTCATCGTGTATCAATTACAAGCCTTTATTTCATGTGATCCCCACTCTCCTACCTCATTCTTCACTGTTTTGGCAGTTCATAATAAATTCTGTACAAGACGTTTCAAAATAGTAAGATGCAATTGTGCCAACAAGGAATTTTTTCAACATAAATGAATTATATAATAGCTATTCGGATGTGCAAACCCGAATGTGCAAATGCCCCCCCACCTATTCATGGGTAGGGGAGGTGAAACCTTAAATTCATCAAAGAGGCCGTGCCTTTATTTTATGGGCCCTTGAACTCTACCTTTTGAGGGTGGTGCCTATATTTTCCCTCAGCAAGTACTAGGAACCATTTTTATAAACACCCCATTTGTCTCAATCTTTCACATTTGTTGTTTCTTTGTAGGGTTCTTCATTTCTTCAATTTGATTGCTGATGGAAAAATTGACTTTCAAAAGTATCCTTTGGTGGGGGAGTATGTTGTTGCTTATATGCTTGGGGTGCGGTTGTTTTAAGACTCAATATCAATATATTTGCTTGTAATTGCTTTATGATTTGCTTTATGTAATTTCTTTAATTGGTCTTTTCAAATTGGCACAGGAAAAGGGTGCACGCAGGGAGGAGAAGATGAGATATATTTGCAGGTGTTCTTTTTTAGAGATATACAATGAACAAATTCTTGATCTCTTGGACCCTTCTGTTGTTAATTTACAGGTAAAGAACATCCATTTATGTTTTTTCATTGCACTGCATTGAAACCTCAGATCTGCTGTCTATTACATATTATGTAGTATATTCATAATCATGCTTATATTCATCATTTTTATACAGGTATGTTGTCACTTGTGACTTGTTTAGGAAGTATTGTCTTTACCACTATCATATCTTGGAATCTTTGTAATATGTATCCATACACAATTTTTTTAACAAGTATTTAATTCAACCAGTTTTTCATTTTTTCATGGGTTTATAGTTTTGCATACCAGGTGATTTAATAAATCTCATCTCTACTGGAATTTGCTGTATTACTTACTTAGAAATGCATTATTAGTGTTGTAGTTCTTTGCTCATTTCAGTTCTAGAGTAAAAAGCTAAGAAGGCGGTGTCATAATTTCAAAACATGGGAGAGCATTTCTAGATAAACTAGAGAGTATCCTGGCAAGAGTTTCAAAATTAAGTAAAAAACTTGGTTGGCATTTCTGAACTTTCTGAGAAATATATGCTGGAGACTTGTGGAGTTTATGGGTTTTCTTCCTAGCCATGGAACAATTTTGATATAATGGATTTGTTCTTTTTCCTATACAATTGAGTTGAGACTT